TGAAAATTGGGACTGTATTGCCTAACTATACAGCTAGACCAATCCTGGACTCACCTAAAATTAAGAAAACACTACCTACTTATAATCAGAGGTGAAATACCAGAATTCTTTTAGCTTCAAGCTATTCTTATGTGAATGTTGCCATCAGCAATGCCTTTGAAAAATCCTCCATACCAACTAGACGGATACAAGAATGAATATAAGCATTTTGCCTCAAGCAAACACCAACAGCACTGAAGTTGTATTTGAACCACATCAGCTCTGTTGGACAGAGCATGCCATAAGAATGCCTAACAACCAGCTCCCAAAACAGGCCCTATACTCCCAACTCATTGATGGTCACCACTCTAGAGGTAGGCAAAAGAAGAGATCCAAGGACACGTTGAAGAAGATCTGAAGAAATGTGATATTAACATCAGTACCTGGAAGACTCAAGCACTTCTCACTATGGAGGCAGATAGATGAGATAGGTGAAGGGAAAGGGCTGTGATCCCACATCACAGGATCTTCTATTTCTTCCTGGAACTATATGCTACATCTGCACTTGAACATGGGCCTCCTCAGTTATTTACAGACTCACCAGTGACTTCCCTATTCACTGGAAGACTACCATTCTTGTATTGAGGACTGCTGCCGCTGCTGGGTTTTGATGCAAGTACTAACTTAGTAACACTTATGGCCCAAAGTGGTATCTGGGTAGTCTCTGAAATTACAAACTACATAGGCTGACTTCTATTTATTTATATTGCTTATAACATACACTCTGAACTCATCTGAAGGCATATACAACATTGAATGCAAACATAAAATATACACCTTTTCACCAGGAAGGAAACTGAAGCAAACTCATAGAAGCAATGAGCAGCGATATTGGCGATGGGCTTTGTCTTTGCTACCGGGTTCCGTGGTTATAATAGGGCTCCCCGGGTCTAACTTGCCTGCCATGCCTTTGATGGGAGAATTGAAGAAAAGAAGACTCAGGTGAGTAGCCCTTTTCAGGACACCAAAGCTGTTTACTAGGTCCCAAAGAAAAATATATAGTCTTGCCAGCTGCCAAGAAACAAAGTAACAAAGTGCAACTGCCACCACACCTCTCCACTTTCCCCTTTTTCTCCCAGGTTCCCTGGGCCCCCAGGGATGACTTCTCCATCTAATACACTAAGGGACTTCATAGTTTCATAATTTCATAGATTTAGGGTCGGAAGGGACCTAGTAGATCTTCTAGCCCGACCCCCCGCCAGGGCGGGAGAACAACAAAACCCCAAAACAAAAATGGGACTCAAATGAGTCCAGCCAGGTAGGCATCCAGCCTCTTCTTAAGACCCCCAGGGTAGGGGCCAGCACCACTTCCCTTGGAAGTTGGTTCCAGATCCTAGCCGCCCTAACTGTGAAGTAGTTTTTGC